ATCTCTGATGGGAGTGGTTATAGTGGCATATGTGGTTGGGTACAGTTGAGTTAGTTACTTTGACCGAATCCTTTGGAAAGTGAAAGGTTGGAGGTAGGTGGCCTCACAGCTGATTCAAAGATGACGTACGTGGCTTCTCATTACAGTTGCTCCATTATAACATTTTTGCCCCCATTAACTTTATCGGTTTAGTTATTTTGACTCTTAAACTTTTATTGTATTCCTTTTAATCCTTATACTTGTATTTTTTTTCAGATTGACCCAAATATAATGGAATAATAGCGTTATTTTATTATTATTATTAAAATATCGACATCGATTGTTTTATTAGTTTCAACCATCTCATTTAAAAAAGTCAAGGACTCCTTATCCTTGTATACATATTTTATACTTTTCAAGACATCCAAAAGATATATTTTACCAATTTTAATCGGTTAAGAATTTAGCACAAGACAAGAACATATGAAATAGCACTAATATTCATTCTAAACTATAAATATTAAATCAAGCTTTTGAAGTCTTTAATCCATCATCAGATTACTCTATTTTGAAGATCATTCACTTCTCTTTAAAAGCTTCAATTATCGTGTTCAACCATGAGTAGTCATAATTATCACATTAAATCTTCCAAATACTGGAATTAAAAAAAAAAATTGGATATAAGTTTGACGAATTGTTACCCCTTTCAATTGAATTCAAATATATCAAATGGGTACATGGGTTTTGAAGAATGAAATTCACGGATGAAAATCCCTTTCTCAATTCGTTAAAACCAATTCAAAATGTTTTATTCTCTCATTCATTCTCGATTCCCGTTTAATCACTGTCTTTTAAAACATTCGGTCCATTTCTATATATAATAGTGGAGTCTTTGTTTATTCGGATTATACGGTAAGTCTTTGTTCATTCTCCTTTTTCTTTCATTGTTACAGAACTTGATCTCGAACGAGGCTCAAGGGCACAAAAGAGAGTAGTGGGGAAACTTGTAATTCTGAGATTTTCCTCAGATGGGTTTTACAAGGCTTCCAGGACTCATCTGCATCGAGTGCAAGCGAGGAAAGTATTATTCCGAGTGATCGAGGGATGGAGAGAATTTTAGACGCCGAGAAATTGGCTAACTTCATGGGGAAGAAAAAGAGAAGCTTTTCAGAGTTATTGCTGTTTTCAATGATCTTTTAGGGGCTTAATGCATAGTTATAGCATAATCATACCAGCCATCTTACATTTTGCTTAGGTCATGAGTCGAATAGAGTGCTCTGCTCTGTGTGTGTGTATATATATATATAGTGGCAACAGAAATTTTTGGAACGTTTCATTTGAAGGATAGGTTAATGAAGAAAAGTTTACAAATATATATATCGAAACACCCCATCTTATAGAATCATTTTTTGTTTGTTTGTTTGGAAACCTAAGGGGAAGGGTGTGCTCTACTCTATAACCAGACACAGTCCATGACCACTTGAAATTTTTATCAACAGGAAACAGAATGAAAGAAAAGAACAGCTGAGGGATGCAATTTACATTTATATCAGTTAAGGAGCCGAGACAAACGGAAAGCTTCCCCTGCCCACCGTCTGCCAACCTTCTCTCCAAACAGCAAGCTGTTAGCTGCCGGTGTAGTCTATCGAGATATGATTTTAGGCAGCCTTGCACGTCTTTCATTTTGGGATTTGTTGACAATATCATTGCATTAACCGTGTCTGCCACAACATCTCTACGCGACTCTTGGAGAAGATATCCAAAGACGACTCCTGTGGGTTCATATGCCAGCAGGGCAATGCAGTCCTAACAAGAAAACCAAATCAATTTAGCTTCGGGTGCCAGCCCAATACACAAGGATCTGGTTCTAATTTTCTCAGGTGAAAGAGACATTAGATCAAACTAAGGACAGGAATTAAAGCATACCAGAAAGCTGTAAAAACCAGATAAGCAAGTTACTCTGCATCTATGTATGTGTCGAATATGGGTATGAGTCAAATGCGGGAATGTTCAATTTTTTGAATATGTTCAAGTATATGTCGAACAAGAGTTTTTCAAGAAAAAACAGGAGTCGAAGCTAAAGCAACTCCAAATTGCCCCATCATGACATACACTAATGCTCAGAAATAAATGCAAGAAACTAGGCATGCACACCAGACCAATTGCTTGTCAAAATTGCCTAAAAACGAGTACACTACAACAGGAAAAGACAAGTCTTGAATCTTAGTTCTTCAAACAATGCACAAAATGAAAAGCAAATCACATCAGCTTGTACTTGCAGTTAGGTGAACTAAAACATGTCCAGCTGTGTTAACATAAGCTAAAGTAAAGCCACATCCCCAATAATCTAATACTTCTAGAAGAAAGATCAATGGTCCAGATAGAAAGTTTTAAGAAAAGAATTCTCCTATGATTACCATCACTAAAGCATCAAATAAATTTTCTTCGGGCAACCCCAAAAATTTAGCTAATTCAATCCTTCCCTGCTTGACAGCGTCTTCCAGTGCTCCAACCTACAAACAAATGTGCCATCTTTTTCGTCCACATCAGTAGAACAAAGAATAAACTAATGATAAACTGTTGTTCAGGAATCAATGTCCAAAGGTTATGCTATCATTGATTTACAATAGGCCTGCAACTTCAGGCTTCTTTGTGAAACCAGATCAAGAACGCAACTTCAGGCCTGCTCTTCAATTGTTGTCGGCATGATAAGAACTTTTAATGTATTGACTTTAATAGAATGATTTCATTTTTGTTCGGGGTGTTATTTAGAATAACAAAACTATTTAATTATGGAATTTCTTGTAGCTTTCATTCAGAATATGTCTCCTAACCTATCGAAAACTTGAATATGTACCTAAATCAAATAGATGACAATGTACAACCAATAAACCCTTTCCATCAGATTTTAAGAACCTGAGGGATCTGTGTTTTCCAGTAATCAGTTTTTATTTTATCTTATTGTAAAAATAAAAGATAAATAAACTAGAAAGAGGATAGAATATGTACCCGTATCAATTCAACAAATTTTTGGCAGTGCAGCAGAAAGCAGACGGCTGATTTGTCGTCCTGTATGTAACGAGTAAGTTGACAGAAATTATGCCTCAATCCAGAAAAATCAACTATATCAAGTAAATGGAACGATGACCACGCAAAAATAAAATCTTGTCTCAGCACAACTAAATCCACTCCACAACATTACTCTTACCATTTAAAACTTAAGCAGGATTGAAAACAATCACAGAATTAGTAGCAAGATACAAGACAATGTAAATCACAAATGTTGTGACTAATATCCAGGCAACCTTAAAGGCTTGAGGAGAGAACTTGGAAATTTTAATGTGATCCCATTGAAAGTATAATAATATGCAATTCTTCCCTCTTTTTTGTTCTAGGGATAGAATGCCATGGACATTAACATGTTTAGCTGTATTCCAGCGTAAAACTGTCAGAGTTTACACATCCCTTAATAGCAAATAAGCCTGTTCCAATTCCATACCAACATAGAAGTGTTTTCTAAATTTTTCCTCAATAGACCCATTCATTCACATCAGTGTATAATGTATTGCCACAACAGATGTACAAAGAGAGGGAGGGAGAACGAGAGAGAATGAATGAAAAGAATAATTAATGTAGGGGCAATGCCAAGGTGGGACGGGAAACGGGAATTTGCAAGTGCAGGATTGACCCTAGCCTTGCTGGAATCTAGTTCTAAGCCCCAGGTCTAGAATGCATGTCAGACCTGATATCAACAAGTGAAGCCCATCTTATTGAACAGCTTATAAACTCCATGCAGGTCACCTCAAGGTCCCCATGAACATTAGATTCGATAAGAAAACGAAGAATAAGCTGAAGCCAAAATTGATAGAACCTTAATGGAAAGAACTTAGAGAGAGAGAGAGATGCCTTAATAGAACAAAAGATTTTTTCCTAGAATAATGTTAAAAGGAAAACATACACGCTTCCAACGCGTACTAATTAACAAACATAATTCAGTCCACTAAAGACGGTTAATTATATAGTATATAACAATAGTGGACAAATCGTGTATACACCTGAACAATCTGAGGATACCAATCTTGGAGTCTGTTCATAGCTGCTCAATCTCACCATTCCTGATTAGCTTCATTGGCAAGAAAAATAAAAATCTTCAATTTAACCAGAACAGCAACAATAACAAGAATAGCTCAAAGAAATAGGAAAGTATACAAGGAAGCTTAAAAAAGTTTTTCCATGTAATGGAAAGAAAATGTGAATCAAGGGAATAGCCCCTCAAGAGAGAAAAAAAGCATAACTAATAATGGTAATATAAAATGTGAATCGTCAAACCATACCTGCCTACTGTCTTTCTCTGATTTAAATCATACTGATATCCTCATCCTCAAAATCATTTTCTTAAGCTATACAGATAGGAGGATAGGCTTTTACAGTTACTAGCCAAATCAAATGAATTGAGTGTATCTTCATAGCCATAATAGCAAGTACGCACGAACAAGTCGTTTGAACAAGATTATATATACATATACCATATTATACAACTTATTACGTCTAGTGTGATAGAGCAATAAGTTCTCTGGTTGATGATGTAAAATGAGGCAGAAGATAGACCATTATTAAGAACAAACAAGATGCAATTAATATTATCACCATCGCCTAGATCTAGATGACAAGTTTCTATTTTGCAGCAATAGTTACATTATCAGAACAGCCTAGAATGCTTATTTAACACAACATCAAATCATCCATAGGTAACTGCATTGGACATGCATGTAAAACAAAAGAACAGAAAATACATAGCAGCAGAAGGGAAAAAATATACCCATAACTAGTTTTTGGAGGCAGAAATATATTTTCAATAGTCCTCTGCTGCTTCAACCTTTCTTGAGCTTAATATTCCTGATATATGGCATCAAAGATAATCAAAGAAACATATAAGAAACCGCTTAAAATGACAGACTGAGGGGACCATAGTTTACTAAGATTAAGAATACCATATACATAGGCAGAAAAAGGAAGCATAACTTGCCTTCAGATCAAAAGCAAACTTCTTTTGCCCAAAGTTGACATAAACCCTGCACATTTTGAAATATAAAAAAACTCATTAGAACAACTTGAAATCATTACCACTTCAGCAACAACAACTGGCATGGTGATGAACTATGTAATAAATATCCATGCAATGCAAGTAGTAAGGAAAAGTCGAGTATAAGATGTCATAATTAATTTTAGGTGCTTTTAACAACAAAGGCAGCACACCATCACCAGAAAGGGCACCTACTAGCACTACTGAATGAGAAATTTTGTTTTGATTTTCAAATAACAGAATCACTATAAGCATCATTTACAGATAAAAGTCAACCATAACACATCTTCCACTTTTGCATTAACCACAAATTTCCCCTCCAAGATATAACCTAATATAACATTCCCAAGCCATGTTTTTTGGAAATATACATGCCATATTAACGGAGTAGGACTAAGAATCACCTCAACAGCCACCGGATGAGGACAATATTGTGTTATATTTGATTTAAACATAGTGCACCAATTGCCCAAGGATAGGGCTGTAAACTAGCTTAGCAGTCTGGCAACAACCTGCATTTCAGCTTGATAATTTAATTTATTAAGTGCTCAAGCCGCATTTAATCTCTCAGATCTGAAATTTTATCTCGTCCAACTTAAAGCCATATAAACTGACTCTGGCACATGTTTTTTGGAAATATACATGCCATTATTAACGGAGTAGGACTAAGAATCCACCTCAACAGCCACCGGACTGAGGACATATTGTGTATATTTGATTTAAACATAGTGCACCATTGCCCAAGGATAGGGCTGTAAACTAGCTTAGCAGTCTGGCAACAACCTGCTCCATTTCAGCTTGATAATTTATAATTTATTAAGTTGCTCAAGCCGCATTTAAGCTCTGCTCAGATCTGAAAATTTTATCTCGTCCAACTTAAAGCCATATAAACTGACTCTGGCACTGTCACTATCATGAAGTAAGTTTTAATAACCTCAGGCAATATTAGCTTATTTTACCCTTTTAAAGTAATTTTACAAGGCCAACCAAACAATATGTTGGAAAATGCCAGGAATAAAGGTGTCATGCTAACCCCTCGCTTCTCATTCATTATAGACAAACCTCAATGTATCACTTAAATGCAACTGAAGAGGAAGGAATAGAGAGAAATGGTGTATATCCATTATTCCTATATTTCACCAAATGCAAATATGGGTGCCTTACTGCCTTTATAACAACACATAAATGAGAGTATTCACATAAATACACTATAAAAGAAGGTAAACATACTCCTCATTTTGGCTGTGAACAGCAATGGTGGGAAACAAGCAACAGTTCATTTCCTTTTCCTTTCTAAAAGTTCCTACTATTGCCCCATTTTTGCTGGCATCAACACATGAGCACACAGAATCATGAGAATCTTCAGAAATGAACAGAACTTCACATGTAAGCAGCATAGAATTTTGATCCACAAGTGCTCCTAAATACAGTGCATGATAAACTGCACTTACGTGAAAAAAAAAAGCAGTGTACCATCCCTATTTTGTAGCCAATTCGCCCTACCCTCTGTTCCCAGTACAATTCTAAATTATCCACTTCATTATTCAACTGTAGCTAAACATCCACTATCTCACTCAAGACATCATCAATGAGATATGCCTCGAATAGATCATCTAGTCTCTTCTTTAAATCTACTTCAGTCAATTTTTGTTCCCTACACAGTCTTTGAAACCACTCATCTAATCGTATACCAACCATCTGAAGTCTATTAGGGACACTTCCATACGATTCACTCTAGAGTTTTGCCACTTCATGTTCACACGCCTCTTCTAGCAACTGTGACACCCGAAAATTCTTGAGCATTATTAAGTTTTAATTTAATTACTTTTAAGGGACAAATTTTTTAGATTGTAAATATTTCAGGATAATTCTCGAATATTCAAAAAGTTCAGGGACTCAACTTGTATTTTCCCTTTTTGTTACGCAAAAAAAAAGAATGAATAGTGTGGGCGATGGGTTTCAAACCCAAACCAAAGAGAATAGAGAACCATGCCCTAGCCACTAGTCTAGGGCACTACTTGGGTAATAAAATAATAAAAATATCTATAGTAGTTGTGGGGATGAGATTAATTTGGTTATTACTTACCCACCCCCGATTTGGAGAACAAAAATCTTAAAACCCCCAAAACCCACACTCTCATCCATGCTACCTCCGATCAGCCACCTCAGTCAGCGGTAGAGTGCACCACCACGCTATCGTGTCGGCAGCAACCGTCGACCTCAACTAGACCGTCAAACCCCCCAAGTCTGCCGTCGTCCATCGCGAAGGAGAAGAAAATCGTTCGGTCCCTCAATCATTGTTCATCGCCATCGCTCGTCAATGGGAGTCACTGTAGCACCCATCCGACGTGCCTGGTCATCCCGGTCACACCCAGCTAGTCACTCGTCGAGTGGTCGTGCAAACCCATTTTTCTCCCCTCGATTTTTTATCTTTTTCGGCCATTCCAGTCGGTGAGCTTAAAGCCATCGTAGTTGTACTCCTAGGAGGTTCCGACCGAAACTGACCGACCTATCATCCACCGTCGCTGTTTCGTTCATCCGCCGTGGGTAAACTTATCGTCACTGTTAATTGATTATTTTGATGTGTTTTGGTAGGATTTTTTTATTTGAGTTTGATGGATTTTGGTAGTGGACACATATGGAGTAATCGGCCGACCAAAAATGCCTTTGTCGCCGCCGCACGCGCCGGTAGTGCGTGTAGGATACATCATCGTCCAGGAGTCTTCTGGAATGATCCAATCAGACCGAACTGATTCAAGCTGAGTCAACTCGTTTAGTCAACTCAGACAGAGTCAACTCAGACAGAGTCAACTCGTTGAGTCAACTTAGACAGAGTCAACCCGTTGACTTTGACTGATCATTGACATGACCGTTGACTTTGACCAGAGTTGATTGTTAACTTTCACCGTTGACTTTGACTTTGACCAAAAATCAATTTTTTTAAAAGTCATATTTTATGTTTTTCGACTTCCTGAGTCCGAATACGAAGTTTGTTTTACTAAATTCGAACTCGGTAAGCTATTTTTTTGACATTTTATCTCCTGATTCAATACAAATTTTTACGTTTAAGTTCCGTCTCTAGTGTAATTGGTTTTGCCATGTATTCGAGACATTATGGGACGTGTAATTAAAGTTTGAGGGCAATCAAATGGAATATATTTGGTTAACTATTATGGCTAAAAAGTTGAGGTAATACATTACTACCTTATGTATGCTTTATGGAACATGTTGGCATTGGTTAATGCATAGCTGTATATGCTTGGTTACATGAGTGTAATTAATATATTTCTAAACTTGTTCCAAATGCGATGAAAAGTAATTAAACTAAATAAGATTCATATTACACATATAAGACACTAGAAGGATGCTAAGAAATAATTTCAGGTTCAGTGATTAACCGATAAAGCAATCAACCTCAGAATCTTTAAATTCTAATTATTTTTTTTTAAAAGTTTTAATACCGGAATCATCGGGTTAAGAAATTATGAAATTACCCTATGAGGTAAAAATGATCGAAACTGACCCTGATAGTGAAAGTACCCTGAGAATTCGTATTTAATCCGACAAACTACTGATTCACTTGTTAAATTCCTGATCTGTTTGAAAAGTCGCTGATAATCAGAGCCTAACATCTGAGAAGGTACAAGACATAGAATTATTGATTTATCAGCAAACTACTAAATACTAAAACATCGGGAGAATTATTTATGTTTGAATTGTTCAGAAAATTGAATTAAGTGGAAAGACTGGATTGAAAAAAATGACTAAAATATCCCTAAAGTGTAAAATAACCCAAAGTACTTCCAAGCCCTGGAATGATTAAATACCGCAAGCTCTGAAACGAATAAATCAACTTAAATACCAAATGACCTAAATTTCTATTTCCTGAGCGAACACCCGAAGGCTAAATTACCAAAAGTACTTTACACGTCTGAATTTCTCAAAATGACTATATTATATGACAAAGTTGAACTGAATAGAAGAATTGTACGTATTTGAATCGTTGAAACGATCGAATTACTCTTGAAACTCCGAAATGACTAGAATAAACTTGAATACTAAATGACCTAAGTACCTTCTATGACCTAGAATTAAGTGGATTACTTGGATAAGTTGAAATGCTAATGAACTAATATGTTGTATCGTTCATAAGGGTTAAGAACCTCGAATTAAGCATGTCGACATTTCTTGATATTGTTGCAATACAAAAATGAAATAAATACCATTAGACTACCTGTTCATCTCCCTAAGATCCATTCAACGATGATTCTGAAGGTGATCTGTTCAACTAGAATAATCGATATTAAAAAGTGAATAATGGTGAAGTACCTCGGTCTAAATAATTGGTAAGTATCGCAGTGTTGGGGTTGAATAGTTTAATTGGACTCAAAATCCTGATAATTCGATATAAATCCTAAATAATATAAATTTTTTGTTTCACTCTCATTGAGTTAAATTACTAAGAATTCTTCAAGAAACCAAAATGTCTAAAATCCCTCTGATTGCATGAATAATGGAATCACTCCTATCATACCTGAATCTCAAGTAACTCTGATGTAAAAGATCTGAATACCTTCTTGATTACTTAGTGCCTCCGAAAAATATCTGAATACTATATGACTTGATAATCTTCCCGAATGACCGATGAATCTGTTAGCTATCAAACCCCCTTTTATAGGGATATTATTTGAGATCCTATCAATTTACAAAAGTTTCGTGGTTCCATACCTGATAAATATCAAGTACCTCCGAAATAATGGATCCTCTAGTGTGTTCATATGCGCTATATGATTGTTTTATCTGTTCTAAAATATGATTATCGAAGTTACTGATTTATTGTATCTTTTAACTATTCGATATTTTGATTTACTTATGTATTGATTTACTACTTATGAACTATGGCTACATGGTATAGTGCTCACTGGTACATGTTTTCACTGGAAAATATAACGTTCCTAATTTATGGATCATGAATCTACTTTACTGTATGAACCAATTATTGGGATATGTCTGAGTAGGATTTTGGAGTAGAGGTTCAGCTATGATCAAGCTGTAATTCCTTACGGACCTAAGGTATCTTTGGGTAGGCTCTAAGGCCCCAAGGCACTCCTTTATCCTACTGGATCATGATTTGATATTAAAGTTACTACTCAATCTGATTTCTACTGGATACTGTATGGGTAGGAGTCTGGAGTACAAAGGTTCAGCTCTGATCAAGGTGGTAAATCCTTACGGATATAAGGAGGCCCTTGGGTAGGCCCATAAGCCCCAAGGTACTCCCTTAGGGTGGCACCTTTGTTGTTTCTTCAGGGTAAGTACTTATAGATGCAGTGTGGGGAACTGTATATGGTGTTCGATTAGGGGTATTACAGTGGTTTTAAAATATGTTTTAAACTATTAATGTTTTTAAAGGATCTGTATACTTTTCTCTGTTTTGTTGGAACATACTAGAATCTCCAATTTAATCTTCTAAAAGTCTCTCTGAATACTTTCATCAGACCGTAAATCCCTGTTTGTAACTGAAGACTTAGCTAATGAAATCTGAAATCATCGATAAAATCTGCTGATGTCTGTCCCACTAAGGAAATCTATGCTTTACTATATACCTGTTTCATCTGGTAATTTTGTATTACTGATCTTTCCAAAGCTCACTCTGTTACTTACCATTTCAAGTTAAAGAGTTTGATTTAGTGCTTATACTGACTTCAGTAAAGGAGTTCCATCGGTGTTGCTAGCAGAGTGCGGTGCATGTAATTAGGGGGCATGTAGGTTGTGTTTTTTTATATTTGAGTATGAAACTTATGTTACTACTGGATATTAGTGGATTTTTTCTAATATATACATATATATATAAATAATTTTCTGAATTTGTATTTTATCTATTAATTATTTTACGATTTTAAATAGATTAAAAAACTTTAAATTTTTTCTTGGATTTTACCATGGGTTTTTTCGGTGACCCTAATGTGATACCTCAAATCGGATCGGGTCACTCACATCATTAATGTACTTCGGGACAATTCTATGTGGTCCTTCAAGACAATTATACGTTGTCATTCGAGACAAATTTTACGCGGTCCTTTAGGACAAATTTACATGGCACTTTCGGTGTATAATCTACATGCACTTCGGTGCAAATTATTTGAGCAGTGGTGACTGCAATTATAGTGCACAACCTTAATGACTCAGATACCTTGAGTTCTCAGTAATAGTGTTGGGTTAATATAACAAAGTGACATAAATTAAATAATGTGTAACAGTATATGATACTTTGAGAATGTATCTTGGTTTCATTATGCAACTTTTCTATGAAATGAATAAGCAAATGTTTCTAAATGTTTTATTATGCTCATTATGCCTCACTAAGTCAACGACTTAGCGTGTGAGTGTTTTCACACGTAGGTTCGACGAGATCCAATGAGTAAAGCTAGGAAAGGACATCATACGCCTAAAGACGATCAG